TCTGCCATCTTCTTGCATTCAAATTTCCTTATTTGCTCTTCACGCGTTCGATCTTTGTCTTTGTACCTTATCCTTTCTTGGCCACAATTTTCTTATTCTACAGTTTTTTGTTTACTCTATCCTTCAAATTCCTTTTTCTCCCTTCCTTCTATTCTTCCCCTCTTTCTGTCCTTTCCTTCTTCCTCTTTCCCTTTCTCTCTCTCCCTATTTCTAGCCTTCATCAGAGTCCATCTAGCAATTTTAGAATGTAGAAACATAAGAATTAACATACTGTGTAGCGCTTTGTGTAGATAGAAGGAGTTTGTTTTCACCCTTCGTCTCAATTTGTAATACTGTCAATAGGCAGAGGGTACTGAGTGGGACAATTTCTAGCTGTGCTTGCGTTTTTGATTGGCCTTTTTCGATTAACACTGCAAAATACATTTTCTAACTAAACGTCTTCGGTATCCATTCAACTTCTGATAAGACTATGTTGCTTAAATGTTGGTTTTTCAAAGCAATTTTATGAATTTTGTGCCATATCCTTTCTTCTTCTTGATCTTTTTCAGGAGGAGGGAAACCTCCTGAAAAATCGCCCCATGCATTGTCTATCTCTGTTCAACACGAGGAGAGTTAAAGATAAAGATATTGTCTTTTGATATGGAAGGACCAATAAAAAAAGGTCCTAATTCCTGATACTTAAAAACATAATAAAGGGATTACCAGATATATGATTAATTAGATTCAATACCAAGTAAAAAATTTCCATACTAAAACAAGATCCATTATGATAGTTGAGTCTTCACCGTGACATCACAATTTTAGATTCGCTTGGCTTGAAAGGCAGTGCCTCAAAACTATCGACGTCATTTGCAGCCCTGTTAAAAAAATAAAGAAAAATTTCTGCAAAAGGAAGGCAAAAAGCCAGACAACCAATACTACATTTTCAATCTAATCTAAAGAATATTTTGACAAATTGCAAGAAGAGGTCTTTTTTTCACTGACTTGGGCACTTATAGAATTTTCTTTGCAATTTTTCAAATATTTGACGACTTCAAATAAATTGCTTTACTGCTTCATTCGTTACGTCAAGGGGCTATGTTAAAGAACTATTTTGAGAAGGAGTTCTCTTTACTAAAAACTAGTTTTCTAACTAAAAATAAAGCATTTTGATTTAATACCAAAAACCTCCTTTAGACTCCATTGTGTAAGGAGTTCAAACAGAACGAATTTCTAAAAGCATTGATGACAAAACAACAAACCATGAGCGTAGCTTGTCTCTAAAGACATCAGGATGTCGAAAATGTTCTGTTTGAACATCACAAGCCCACCAAACTGCCCTTTACCAAAAGGCTTTGACTGAGCCCTACAACAAAATACTGATTGATAAACAAACTGACGATGTATGAATACGCTAAAAATGATTGTGTTGACAAGAAAAATTAGAAGGATATTTCTCTCCTCCATCGTTAATAGTATTCTAGTTAAAGATATTGGGGAAATTCAAAGAAATACAGTCAGACTCTTGATAAATCGTTGATCAAGGACCAATTGAAATGGTTCGAGACAAGGAATGTTCGAAATTTTCAAAAGGAAATTCAAATAAAATTATGTGGCAAGGAATGCAATTAAGTTCGACTCGCGAATGTTGATTATCAGAGGATATTCAAATAAAATCAGTGGGCAAGGGAATGCAATATATGTTCGATTTGGCGAATGTTCAACTTACCAAGGGGATTTTTAAATGAAATTATTGGGCAAGGGGAATTCAATACAGTTCCACTTAGCGAATGTTCGAATTATCAAGAGGATATTCAAAAAAATCAGTGGGCAAGGGGAATGCAATATATGTTCGATTTGGCGAATGTTCAACTTACCAAGGGGATTTTTAAATGAAATTATTGGGCAAGGGGAATTCAATACAAGTTCCACTTAGCGAATGTTCGAATTATCAAGAGGATATTCAAACAAAATCAGTGGCAAGGGGAATGCAATATATGTTCGATTTGGCGATGTTCAACTTACCAGGATTTTAATATGAAATGAAATTATTGGGCAAGGGGAATTCAATACAAGTTCCACTTAGCGAATGTTCGAATTATCAAGAGGATATTCAAACAAAATCAGTGGGCAAGGGGAATGCAATATATGTTCGATTTGGCGAATGTTCAACTTACCAAGGGGATTTTTAAATGAAATTATTGGGCAAGGGGAATTCAATACAAGTTCCACTTAGCGAATGTTCGAATTATCAAGAGGATATTCGAATGAAATTATTGGGTAAGGGGAATTCAATACAAGTTCCACTTAGCGAATGTTTGAATTATCAAGAGGATATTCAAACAAAATCAGTGGGCAAGGGGAATGCAATATATGTTCGATTTGGCGAATGTTCAACTTACCAAGGGGATTTTTAAATGAAATTATTGGGCAAGGGGAATTCAATACAAGTTCCACTTAGCGAATGTTCGAATTATCAAGAGGATATTCAAACAAAATCAGTGGGCAAGGGGAATGCAATATATGTTCGATTTGGCGAATGTTCAACTTACCAAGGGGATTTTTAAATGAAATTATTGGGCAAGGGGAATTCAATACAAGTTCCACTTAGCGAATGTTCGAATTATCAAGAGGATATTCGAATGAAATTATTGGGTAAGGGGAATTCAATACAAGTTCCACTTAGCGAATGTTTGAATTATCAAGAGGATATTCAAACAAAATCAGTGGGCAAGGGGAATGCAATATATGTTCGATTTGGCGAATGTTCAACTTACCAAGGGGATTTTTAAATGAAATTATTGGGCAAGGGGAATTCAATACAAGTTCCACTTAGCGAATGTTCGAATTATCACGAGGATATTCGAATGAAATTATTGGGCAAGGGGAATTCAATACAAGTTCCACTTAGCGAATGTTCGAATTATCAAGAGGATATTCAAACAAAATCAGTGGGCAAGGGGAATGCAATATATGTTCGATTTGGCGAATGTTCAACTTACCAAGGGGATTTTTAAATGAAATTATTGGGCAAGGGGAATTCAATACAAGTTCCACTTAGCGAATGTTCGAATTATCAAGAGGATATTCGAATGAAATTATTGGGCAAGGGGAATTCAATACAAGTTCGACTTAGCGAATGTTCGAGTTATCGGGCTTGCAGTTATACTGTAATTCTCTTCCCTGCACCACAAAAATGTCATATTTGAAAATATCACACTAATTGTATCTTTTGGTTATATTCCCGCTAGTATAAGAAAACGTAAGATATTTCAGGCAACAATCCTAGGACATAGCTTTCAAGTCAAACGGCGAATAGTATGCATTCATAATCAATCATATACCTATCTTTTCCGTTGAAGAATATGTTTGTTTATAGCAAAGCAATCAACATTGAAATGAGGGGGTGGGGGTTAGTGTAAAATATAAACACAGTTTGTCAAGGTTTGTACAATAAAATTATAGCTTCTAGTGTGAAAATATTAGGCAACTTGAGGATAAATATTTCTATATAGAGGTTTTTACTATACCATTACAGCCTGAAAACAAAGCGATATAAATGAAAAAACAGTATATCTTAAAATCATGGGCCATTGAAGCATTATCTTATTTGCTTTTAATGCATTGAATATTCTTTATTTTTTGGTTAGTTAAAAAAAGACACTCTATTTGGTTATGTTTTTTCATTACTTCGTTAGATTGGATTGAACTTTGAGTATCATATTGCTTTGTCATTTAAAGATATGCCTGATTTATATTTAAAAAATTTGTTCGCTTGACAAAGGCAAGCTTTTTATTTCGTACATAGACTTTGATTCCCTACAGTTCTATAAGAAATTATTCTGCAATCGAATGAAACTGCAAGCAACAAAGTGTGATAATTCTTCTATAAACAAAGCTCTTGTGTTGTTAGTTCAGCATATCACAGATAAAAGAAAATGAATGGGAAAAATATTTCGTTAATAAGCTAAACACCGACATTAAATGCCTTTGGAAATGTTAAGTCTTACCTTTCATAGATAGACCTTCCATCTTGTGAGGTAAAATCAAAGAAGATGTTCCTTCCTTTACAGAAGGTTAACCGATCATTGCATTCAAATGATGAGTCATCCTAGAATCATGGACACCAAATCAAACATTTAAAAGAAAGCAATTCGAGAACAAATGAGATCAATTAAGGTCATTCGAATCACTGGCCAATCGAGTCAAAAATTCCAATTTGGAAAACCTACGGGTCTCTTAAAAACCAGACCAAATATATGGATCAGTGCATTACTCCTTACCATTCAAATACATGGCTTATATTCGGGGAAATCATTGAGCTTATACTGGAGAATATCTTTATAACATACTAGGTGATAATGTTGCCTGGTCCGGGGAAAATGTACATACAAAAAAATTGTGAAAATTTTACACACAACAACATAGAATACAACTTTAAAATAATTGTATTGTATGTTGTTGTAGGTTACAACTTATAACACTTTCAGTCATAGCCTACTGTCTTGAAAACAAATTACCTGGGCTAAAACGAATTTATAATTCTCGTTTGTTTAAAACGAGTTGTGTCACTGCTTCGATACCCACTGCGTTATGGTGCCGTTCTGAAATTATATAACAACTCAAAAGTTGATATCTTCTTCTCAAAAATATATTTAACCAGGTCACACTGATGCAAAAATTATTGAATCGAAACAGATAGCTCAAGTTGAAATCGGGAGATTGTTTTGCCACAGTAAATCTACGGCCAATATCATTTAGAAAGACAAAATAAAACAAAAAAAACCTTCTTTTGACCATAGTTACAAAAGTTCATGGAACAGAAAGTGACATTCGATAACATTTAGTATACCCTACTGTTGTATCTAAAGAAGGGTGAAACGTATGGAACTCCATTTCTTGGCTTTGTGCCTTAATAAATAGTACCCCAGTCCAGTTCATGAAATAATGGAACTGTGCCAGGCAACGTAAATAGGATGGAACGTGCCTAATCTGCCGCTATCGGGCCCATATTCTGACGTTCTATACTCTGAGGAGTGTCAGACGAAAAAGCTTCTGGTAATATGTTGTGAAATGTTTGCTTTTTTCAAAGCCATTATATGTCATAATTGTAAAGTAAGACAGGAAAACGGCATGTAGCCCTACATATGGTAATCCGTTTGAGCATTTCATAACATTTCTTCATAAGAAATTTAGACCCCGGAATCGGATCTAGCATCTGAACTTTTGTCCAGCTACAAGTTTTTATAGTGATATAGGGGCTTGACCTAAAAAATTATCCGGATAGTGAATTAACAATCCTACTATCCAGGGTCAAATTCCTTATAAAATTCCGAACTTCTTTTTCTTTATGGTTTGTAGAAAAGTGAAAATTTGCATCTAAAAAGAGTTCTTGGTGCTAAATCTGAAGCTGTGATCAAAATCCTCTGCTCAAAATCTCTAAATATGAGTAACGAAATTCTAAATTGCTGTTTAGAAGAAGCAAATTGATTGTATGGAACTTCAATGATTGTAAGCCTAAAATTAAACTATAGCATGCAACTGGACACCATGGGAAAAACATTTAAAATTCCTTTTTATATCATATTTATAAAATCATGAATGCAAAATAGGTTGCCCAAACTCTTTCAAATTATAGAAAAAGAAAAAGTGTGCGAGAAAAAAGTATATTTAATTGAATTCATGGAATTCATGGAAAAATGACAACTCGTTGATTTTTAAACAACATACCAGATCTTTAGGTTTGCAGATAACATTCAGATTTTTGAAACTTCTGACATATCCAAAATCATTCTCCTGCCAAAACGCACGAAGTCTGTCGTCAAGGCTACAATTACATTAGAACATATGAAACTAGAAAAGTAATAATTAAAAGCTAATGATTTCAACTAAACCAGTATCAGTAATTTCAACTAAACCTCCAAGAACGAGAGGTAGAAATTGAGTGCTATTACTGCATAGGCATTTCATCAAGAATATCAGTCTTGTGGCTTTTTTATCGCTAAAGTGTTTTTGCTAAAAAGAACAGAATTCTCATCAATTCTCATCCAAACCAATATTGGCGGTAGTACTCGGTGTCATGTCTAGATGATGACGCTGGGCGGCACTGAAGCTCTAAGAGTCATAAAACAGGGGCGTAGCCAAAGATAAATGACATATCTGTTGGAATGGAAACGCTTCAGGGCTTTTCACCTTTCCAAACCTGAGCTACGTTTTGCATAATCATTCAAAACATTTCGTAAAAAATGCTCACAATTTTGCCTTTGCAAAATTGTATTGAATAAATTAATAATGTTAAGAAAAAAATTTCTCGAAATCATTGTTATATCCATTTAAGTCAATCCTACACTACATTGATTTTTCTGGTTGCCAGTTAAAACAAATAAAAATATTCATTTCGATACAGCTGCTTCAAAGAAGACAAAAATTTTCGATTTTCATCCACATAACGTCTTTTTGTAAAAAGAGCATTACCCTGTTTCCATAGCCAGAAGAGGCTTTACCATGTTGTTGTGTGCTGGTGAAAAGAGGAGTTAATGTTTTTGTAATTTCAAAGGCCCCATTGCTAATGAATGTCTCACACCTTTTCCCAAAAATTCCATGAAGAAAATTCCGCCAATTTTCGAAAAAGTCACTGAAAATCCGGGAGGTCGTTATAAATCAGGGGAAATTTCAGAAATTCTTAAATAGTCCTTGAAAATCCATAAAAATCATTTTGAATATCGCTAAAACCTTGAAAAGGTCCTATCAGCATCCTTGAAAATGCCAACGAGCCACGATGAAAATCGATAACAAAAATCCATAACAAAAACAATGTGTGGCACAGAAACAAATATCAAAATTCCCTTTGTCAACTTTTTTTTTAATAATTATTTAATCACGACATCACGATATCCATTCAGCATCAATTATAAAAATCCTAATTACAAATGAAAGCTAATTAATACAGTTGATAATTTAAATAAACAGATATGAAAACCAGTACTGTTTTTCTATGGATTCGTGCGGAAATGTATTTCTTCAGCTTAGGAAATGACTTTTTAGCCCATTCTTAAACAGGGTTATTGTAATGGACTCTCTCGTATGTTTTGGGATAGAATTCCACGTTTTTAGGCCAGTGTGATTAAAACTTTTCTACTGAAGTCTAAATTTAGCCTTAGGATTTGGAGATCAGTCTTTTTACTTGTACCATACTTGCTTATCGTGGATCTTTCAGAAAATTTTTCGTGCAGACTCTCAGGACATATCTTGTTAACTATTTCAAACATCTGAACCAACCAATCAAATTGAAACATCCGATCGATGCTAAATATTGCTCGAATCAAAGAGTCCTTTATTTTAGAGGCTTGTTAGACAACTAAACAACTATACTTGTTTGACAACTAAACAAAGTTATATTTCTTGCAAAAGAACTTTGATGTTTTACTTGCTCATCTTTTAAGTGAATGAGCTGAATAACCAAGTCATGTGTGCCCTTACACTTACCCTATAATGACAAGGAGGATCTTGAGAGACTTACTAAATTCGAAAAAGGACATAGGTTCCTTAGCAAACTGACTCCAGGGAACGAAGCAACAAACAGCTATGAAAAGAGTATTAGAAGCATGGAAAACGATTATTGTTCCTGTTACAGTGACTTTCTTCATGACAAATTTCCTTGGTAGTGCTTTTTAATTTGCAACTTTGTAAATCACCTGGTTTTTTTTAATTTCATAAAGGGCATATATGTTTAAGCCCTTGTGATGATCAAACAGTTAATGATTAAAAGAGGAGAATCTTCTCCATGATGGTTTTTTGCTTTTTGGGTGATTCCATGTCAAATCATCCAGGGGTTGTGATCAACATGTCTTGGATTTTGATCATATTTCGCACAATCAAATATTCTGACGAGATTACAAAAGCTCCGACATTTCAGCTTTATATCTAACATAGTCTCAAAATTTACAGTAATCCAAAATTTATGTTGAATCAGCGATTTCGCAGAAAATTGGACAAGGCACGCACTGACCTGCATGCAGATATGAGGCTGAAAATTGGCAGGGAACCAAAAAATAATCTGAAAATTTCAAAAATGCTACTTAAAAAATGTCCGTGATATTTTTCTCAAGACAAATCAGGCTTTTCCTCAAATGATTAAAATTGGAGCTGTCCGTAAATTTCTTGAAATTTAAGGGTGTGGCAAAATAGATACAAGCAAACCATATAGACTCGTTTAAACATCTTAGTTTTCTTTTAATTTAGAACAATTTTCATCAATTATATGTGAAGGCACGAGGAGTAACACGCATTTGAAATTCACAGTCCATTTTCACAGAATAATAGCTGTAAAACGTTAAGTACAGCCTCATATACTTCCTGAAGATTTCAATTTATCAAGTAAATTTGAATAACAGCTCAAGATTTTTAGTCTAAATATCAATTTATTTACAACCATATTTTAATAGCCAGACAGCATCCATAGTGTTAATATAAAAAATCTTCAAATATTCTGTTGATATTGTTCAATTTAATGTCACTTATAATGAACACCCGACCAGATGTTCTATTTTACACATATTCTTGTGCAAGGTATCCAGCAGATATCATCTCTTGCTGGCCATGTAAAGTTTTGGCATGGTCCATGTGGATGAAAGAACGTGCCTTCTGCACGTGATTCTTATTGTCTATCTCTTCGACTAGGCCTATCCAAAGTAAGGCATCATAGCAGCACGCAATGAAGTCCATTGTGTTGAGAGCTGCTGGTTTCAATAAAACAAATCTTCTTGCTTTTCGTTGAAATAAAACAGGCTACTAAACTTATCATCTTGATTTAAGCGTTTAAATTATACACCAAAGCCATCTTGCATTGGTTTAAAATGGTGGTAACTTCTAGTACCTGGTACAGTTTGGCTTAACAAAAAACGCTGTCTTTGCAAAATTCTTGCAGCGACAATTTCCTCTTTTGTTATAATGGTAAATTCAATTTTTGTCATAGTTTCTTTACAGAATTCTACCATCGATGTAACAGTAAGTAACTGCCCGCTTAAAGGTCGTTGTAGGCTACCCCTAACTTTTAACCTGTTGATTGCACCTCCGAACCCATCACAGGATGATTTCTCATGTGAAGTTGCCAAAAAGACATTATGGCAGATAGACCAAAATCATCTTCTTGTTTGCAGAGATTGACAAAATTCTTTAAGTTTTTGCACTGGCCACAACATCCATTTGAAATGTAAAAACTTCTTTGACTTTTGGTTGATTTAACCTATTCTGTAGCTATCCGCTGAACTTTGTGGGCGGATGGAGGATCATGATTTCTGTCATCTGACAAAACACAGAGACATCTCCTTAGGCTGGTCAGAAATATCTTTATGATAGATGATAACTGGGTGCTTGGTACACTGTTGGTTGGTCTAATGAAAGCTCTGCACCTCATCTTAAAAGGCAAATCTGTAATTTTCAGCAAAATCAAGAACAACAATACAGCTTGTGGGTGAAAGATTTTCTTTGCAACACTTGTAAAACCCACTCTGGCATTTGCCAACAAATAAATGGAGTGTCAAATAGTTTACTTTATCAACAAGAGTGTCTAGGAAACTGTCAGTGCTAGCTTTTACTGTAATCAGAGTTGGTCGATCAGTGCTTTTGCCGCAAACTGTACTCTATTTCATCAATTTCTTGTCTCGCCAATTCCGCAGTTATGAATTCTTGGAGTGGCTTTGTTCCAGGGCACTCTGAGCAGCGATGTATCATGCATTCTCTGCTTCAATGTTTCAATCATTTCCATCAAATCTTTACTAAAAGTATGACTAGCTCTTAAAGCATTAGCTATCAAGATGGCATTTTGATGATATGCGCAGGCACAAACAGCATGAGAACCAGGACTCCCATTAGGCACACACCATTTGCGGTGCAGACTAAAAAACCTATTTCCATATGTGGATTTCTTTGTTTAAAGGCAACATGAAGTTCCTTGAGATTACAAAAACACAATCTCTTTTGGACACGCTTGTTTCTTCTGTATTAACATAACCCTTCTTTCCTGGTAATGACCTTGAAAATTCATCATCTTTATCAAATAGACTAACTGCTTCCTCTACATAGTGTATTTTCCACAGTGGAGGCTCGTGGTAGAAGCTGCTGGTGGGGCAAAAAACAATCAAGGACCACTAGAGTGGGGCTCCTTGCTAGTTATACTCTCTCAGGCCCCATGGTTATTCCAGTGAGAAGTCCTCCTCATGTCAAGAGTACTTCAATGCACAGCACCTATGAAATAATTCATATACTTATATCGGAAATTTAAAACATGTCGTTTAAGTTGAATTGGTCTTAACCTTCAAGTAATGTATTTGATTGTTGTGTGCTGGAGCTTCGCTCTAAATGTTTAACATCAACACCAATAGCTGTTGCCTTTTCTGTTTCTTGTGCCCTGAACACTCTTTTAAGTTTTTCCTTTGCTAACGATACTCTCCTTCGTTTTTCAAGCCATGAAACCTTATCGGTGAAACGCCAAAAAATTCCAGACTGGTATTTACAATATCTCTAGAAATTTTAGCATCATTTATTTCTTCTTTTTCTCCCTCTTTTTCTTCTTCTTCTTCTTCTTCTTCTTCTTCTTCTTCTTCTTCTTCTTCTTCTTCTTCTTCTTCATCAATCATAATGTGAGCTTTCAGACTGGACTTTACCATCATATTCAAGAATTTGCCGGTAGCAGTTCCTACAAAGCTTCCACCAAGGCAAAACATTCTTGAACTCCTAATCTTTTGCAAACTGGATAAATATTTTTAATGGTACCTTTGTTTTTCTTTCTGTGTCGCTTGAATGGGTCACAACAGTTTAGGGACCTTCTTTCAAATACTTGTATTATTTTGGCCTGCCTATCTTATCTCTAGTATAGTACATAAACCCAAAAAAAAAGTCTTCACATAACTGTGAGCACAGAAGCATTTACTGCCACAACACTTAACTAGTGTTTTGAAGAGATACCTGAAACTAAATGCTAACTGTAAACAATTTACTAAAATTTCTGGCAAAGCAGAAATATTAGCATAAATATTTGCAATTTTCGGAAAAATTTGTGTTTTTAGGAAGGAGGGGAAAATAGCTATATTTGTATTTGTTTTTACCTAGCATCCGAAGGTACTTTTTAGGACAATGAGAATCTTATGCTAATCGAGCAGTGTCCTGGTGCTTCCTCTCGATGTGACCACACCTTGTGATTCCTATGCCTGGAATTACAGAGAGCTGATGACTCTGGGTGAAAGTTTGGTCGTGCCAGGGACTCAAACTACGGACCCTTGGGTCTGTAGTCAGCGCCTCTAACAACTGAGCCATCCTCGCATAATGGCTTAATTTATTGGGCCAAACACTCGAATTTCAAGGCATTTTTCATCATTTGAGGAAAAAGCCTGATTTTTCTGGAAATAAGCATTACATACATTCCCAAGTGGTATTTTTGAAATTTTCAAATAGTTTTTTGGTTTCCTGCCAATTTGCAACTTGATATATGCAATAGTTTTTCAATTGTAGCTGTTAGAGAATATACAGTTGTGTGTGCCTCACCCTATTCCTCTACAGATTTGCCAATTCAACTTTTGATGGCTGTAACTTTAACACTAATGTTAGATATAAAGCTGAAGTGTTGCAGTTTTTGTAATCTCTTAGAACCTTTGATTGTGCAAAATATGATCAAAATCCAAGACATGTTGATCACAACCCCTGGATTATTTGACATGGAATGACCCAAAAAGCAAAAAACCATTATGGAGAAGACTCTCATATTTTAATCATTAACTGTTTGATCATCACAAGGGCTTAAACATATATGCTGTTTATGAAATTCAAAAAATCCAGGTGATCTTCTTGTATTCGACCAGGTCTCCCTATTTTTCTTGAGAAATGAAAATACTCCTAGTGGAAGTGAAAAATGATCTTACCTATTAAAGACTCTCCAGCTTTCCACTTCAGAACAAACTGCTCTGGATAAGGCTTTAAAGTCAGTGCAGCTATCTTCATATCCCCAGACACATTTTGTCTATCAAAGATTAAATCCTATTAAAGTAGGCAGCAATCCAATATTTTTAATTAAACTTGAAGACAAAGAGCCATGAAGGATTCAAGTATTGTGATGCATGGTCAAATTAATTAAATGTATATTTACAGGAAGAACAAATTTAACAATGGTGTCAAGAGCAGCAAATGCTCTGCAAATGCAACATTACCATTTGGTAAAAAAACTTTGAATTTAGTTCAGTAAACATTAGCAGGATAACAATATTGCAACACATGCCAAGTCGGATCACACAATGACTTTTTATTGTTGACTGATTGTAGATAGCAAATTCAATGAAAGGAACCCTGACTACCATAAATCCTTGAATTGGTCCCCCTTGAAAAAGCCCCCCCCCATATAAGCCCCCACCCTAGAACTACAAATTGTCAACTACCCCCCTCTTTGAATAAGCCCCCTTACTGCTACCTTAAATTCTCAAATTGCACTCCTCAATTTGATGATTTTTGCCATCTGAGGTTGCCTTTGGAATTTTATTGAATTACATACCACAAAATTCATACTTTTTGTATTACATAATTAAATGCTCATAAAAAAATTCCTACTAAAATAGACGAACTTTTTTCAATAATGTCGTCGTAATGTCTACAATAATTTTAAACTCCCCCCTCATATAGGCCCCCCCTTTGAATAAGCTGATGTCCTCCATATATGATCAGTTTTCTTCAGTTTTTGACTGACAGCTCACTCTGTTTTGATATGGAGCTTGATTGGAAAGAACTGCAGTTTCTGCAGCTTTGGTCGTCAAGAAAAGGTTAAAATACCAAAAAATGAAAAAATATATTGATAAGTCTGGTGTCACATTTCTTAATGACTTTTCGTACTTTCACGCATATAAAAATTCATCCGTGTCTGTAACTTTTACTTCTCCTCATTTTCAAATCAACACTGCTTTCAAAGGGGGCAATTCTTTGGAACTTGGCTTCTTCTATTCTATTCAAGGCATGCACTTACTCCAGGGGACTTGTTTAATCAAGGAAATACAGTTTACATAAGCTTGGTGTCCTTGAAGGGGACTTCTGCAAAAATACATAGAGAAAGACTATCTCCCTAGAATTTCTAGCATTAACTTGATTCCACTGAAGAGGTTGTCTGGCAGCATTTTTACATACTTCTTTGCATCAACTCGCAACTCGCAAATTGCCAATTTACCTATTCATTTAGGCCTAATCGAACCCCAACATTATAAAAGCTGAATTTTGAAAATTTTGAAGCAAAAAATAGGGCTCATAGACTTTACTTTGGCTATCATTTCCTACAAAAATTTAATCCAAAGGCAGCTACTTGCTATTCAACCAGTAATTATTATATTTTTACTGAGGCTACAAACCAGTGATAGATACAGACTGAGGTCAGACAAATCTATGGCATTGCTAGTTCCAAAGACAAAATTTACATCTCGTGGGGACAGAGCATTTTGTACTGCAGCCCCTAGGCTCTGGAACAAACTGCCCGTTGAAATTAGAAGATCTCAGAGCGTCCAAACTTTCAAAACAGGATTAAAAACGTATTTATTTCATAATCATTTCAACATATGAATGACATTTCTAGCTTTACTTTCTGTAAATTAAGGTTTTTAGCTGTTCAGTGCTTTAGAATATATGTATATAGATTGTAGCGCTTTATAAGTGCATTGTTATTATTATTATTGTTTTTTCCAGTGTAATTTTTTGCATACAATTGCATCATTTCCCATGTAAATATGGTTGTTGTTAAAAAATTTCAAATCATCAATAAATTTCCAAGAAATTGACTCTGCATTAAGCATGATTTTATTCTCCTATAATTGGAAAATTTCAAAGTATAATTATCAGCTTGAAAAACTTCCAATTTTGAATGCCATTGTGAATAGGGTGTTGCAACACTTTGTCCTGGTAGTGCATTTCAAGTATGCCCCAATTATATATCATCTACAGAATCTGAATTGTTTCCAAGAAACCAGAAAGGTCTAGGGGTATGACTGCTGGTGATAGAGTTTATTAGCAAGGTCTTGAAGTTTGCCAGACAAGCTCGTGTACATTGAGCCAAGGACATTGCTGCCAATGCCCATTTAAATAAAATTTATCACCATCATTTAAGAGCCTCAACCCTGCACCTTGACCCTTGAACCCTGCACCAAACCCTGCTCCATCAAGGTTTCATTTTGATATCTCAGTAATGTCTGTCTTGCATGAAACAAGTCTGAAAAGTTAAATAGAATTGTGTGTTTTGCAAGGAGACTTCACTTCACCATGTGCAGTCAAGGGTGAATGGTCCTAAACATTTAATATGGCCTGATTGATGAAGCAAATAAAATGCATGAAATAACTAATGATACATACTATAAATCTGCCTTTAGAAAACCTGAAAAGAAAGCTAAAATATTTTTCCAAGTGTTGAAATTTATTTTTGAATGCTCTAGTGTACGGTTGTTGCATACCAGTTAAGGAGTATGCAGGTTAGGTTTTATTAGAAGGGCTTAGATACCTTGCTTTAAAATAATTTGAAATTCAGCATTTTATGCACTGTTTTCAAAGGGCTTTATTTCATACAGTGGATCAATGCATACAGTGGATTCAAACAATAAGCTGATTGGTGTTCCAAAACTTAGTTAGACTAATTAATATTTGGTTCCCCCGAGAAAACACAAATATTTCTCACAGGTGCAGTAACACCCACAACACGCCCCTGTTACAGCACCTGTTGCTAAGTGACCAGTTAACACGTTAAGTGACCTGAGATGTGTTCGATACTGTTTGTTGACCCCCTATTTAATCTTAGATTAGGCCAGATATAAGCACATGTTCAATCCGCTATGAAATGATTAATATCTACAAGAAAGTGCTACCTGACCCATGACGCAAGAACTTCCCTTTCCACTGGTTGACTTTGTGCATGCTTCATTCTCAGAATACTTAGGCTGGCTGTTGTTATCAATTCTTTCGTCGAAGTCTTCTTGACTCAAACAACAAATGTCACGGAGGTTCCAAGTCACAAGCAAGGAGCAATACAACATAAAATGTGTTGAATGGCGTATATTCATCCTAGTTTTTGGAAAACCAAACTCGCTTGCTACCTTTGGGGGCAAGAAATCGAAGATTGTCGTAAAAAAGTTGGAAGAAATTATTTTGCCTCGTTTCGATGTAGTTGGAAACAAGCAATGAGTTTCGTGGAAATAATGTGGAAATTGGCTGATTGCATGTCACCTGGTCCAACTTTTTTGCATTTTGTTGAATGAATAAGGAATATTGTTTCCATTATATCCTAGCAATTGAGAACAAGTTCCAGATCTCTTTTTCCCTGTCACCCAAAACCTTGTCAGAAACATTGTCAGAACTTGTCAGAAACATTGTCACCCAAAACCTTGTCAGAAAAAGGAACATTGTTTTCACTGTTCATGACATGACATGATGTCTTTAGTTCTCAACGACAACAAACAATATTAATGTAGCCAGTAAGTTGCAAACAAAAAAGATGATACAAAAAAGCTTCAAGGATATCGCTAAACAGCTACGCCAGATTTACTGTTGAATTGGCATTAATAAACACGCCCTGGGTATTGCATGTACTTTGTTACGTAAGATTCTAAACAAACTGGGATCAAAAACTTCCGCACTCGAGGGTCATATATACATACAGACCTTATTTGCGATAAAGTATATATGTCAAATTAAAATGTGACATTAGAAGTATTAGGGGAGCAATCCAATGTTGGCATTGGATAAACATTTTCTTTCTAGTAGCTTCAACAAACGCCTTGTAATTTCAATCACGTTGGATTGACCAAGACGTCGTAATGAAAAAGTACACATGCATTCACAAAGGCATATGCTAAAACTGCATATATTTTATTTAATTTCACTCACAGTATTGCTAATGAACAGATAACCTGGTACGATAACATTTTCCATACTTAAACTAAACTGCGCTTTACACAGGTAAAAATGACTAACAGCCCCTTGAAAACCAACGGTTTACTGGTTGACAAATCAAATTGCGCTAAGATATCATTTGAACAGTTTCTGACTTTCTGAAAATCAGCGAAATCCCAGAGCAGCACACATTGGTTCATGATGGCGGGCGAAGTTATAGCTTCGCCTCCACCAAAAGCTACGAATCGATCGATCGTCTCTTTTCATATAGTTTCGTATGCCTACTTCTTTTTTCGCCCATTTCGCATTTGACGCTAGGTTTATTATAGTGTAAATGACTGTCCATATTGACACCAATCTTCTCAATCAATTATATATTGGGTATAAACCTGGAACATAATAACGTATTTGTCAATGGCGTCCATGTGAAACGAGCTTAAGCATTATTATGTAGGGAGCATAGGTTTCAAATCTTTGATTGGCTAAGCGACCAAAATTCTCCATACCCAATTGGCCAATCAGAATTCAAGAATATGACAACAAACGTGCGTCGCAACAAGATTCAGGCCTATTTTGAACGTTTTTACCACTACCCACAAAAAATGTGCTTGAAGATAACCTAATTTTTTATAAAAATTCAATCTCTGATGAATTGAATTCTTGAATTCTGATTGGTCAATGTGGTATGCAGAACTTTGGTCCCACAGCCAATCAAAGATTTGGAGCCTATGCTTATGTAGTGTTAAAATTTTTTTATTAGCTATATTTAGATACATTTCATATCCCAGGAGCAGTCGTGATATATTGCTTCTCCTGGGTTCCGTTCTTGTAATATAATTTTGTAGTTAGTACGTACTGTTTTAGGTAATTTGTTATTGTAAGTACACAGAATAGAAAAAAAATGGTCCGGATTATTTCTTTACGCAGTTTCACGTGAGCTGTTTCCGTGAGCTGTGCTCTGATCAATTTTGCCGAAGATATTTTTGGATTCGCTCTACTTGGATTCGCTTTCTCCGTTGGTTACAGAAGAATTTCTTGTTTGCACCAGGGCCGTCGCTAGCGGGGGGGAGTGTATGGAACCCCCTAGAAAATTCTTGTGGCCAAATTTTCGAATATTTGCCAAACTAAGGTTCTATTTACACGTGCTGAACAATTTGAATAAATGAGGGTATCTCATTGCAGAAAACTTGACTTCTAGAGTAGCACAATTGAAAAAGGTATTCTCAGTTACCTAGGCAAAGAAAATTACAATGCGAAAATTGAAGCGATGATTGTCTGACGAGAACATGCTCGTTGATAAATAAAATCAACTGCGTCAAAAGGCCAAACCCAAAAATTGATACAATTTAGGCCATGCCCTATTTTGCCGGCGAATTGATGACTGGCACCCCCCTAAGTGAGAGTAGAGTGACGGCCCTGATTTGCAATGCCAGTTAAGCAAATAGTATAGACTTCTATAGAAAGAAACAACATTTTACGTGAAACATCTATCAGTCTTCACAGCAATCCACTGTCAGGTTCTTTCTGAGAGATTTTTACAACACGAATTCAAAAATTAAAACAACATTATCTAGCTGTGCTCCGACCCCTAGCTTAAAAGTAGAAGTCGTACTGCAACGACCGTCCTGCAATAATACCGGTTCTTCTTGCACAATTACACAGATCGGTAATAATTATGAGAAGAATTCAACTTTCAAGTTATAGGTCTAGAACGCAGGCTAGCATTACCGTGTCCAACAGTAGTCTTTAGGGTGACTGAGCATAAGAAGAACGAATCGCAGCTAGTGACTTTATCATTTCTTTGTTCACGTGTTCAATATACCCTGACATGTGATCTATTAGACATAATAAGAATTCCAAGGTGTAACAAAGGCAATAAATCTCCAAGGTCGAGAAAAAAGTGACGTAAGAATAAAATGCAGGTTAACGGGAAGTTTGGGGGAGGGGGGTTGTTAACATTGCGGATTCTTTTATCATGCAGAAGAAAACTAAGAACAATCAGGGAACGGTATTTTACTACATTTTCTAATAAACTTCTTTTTTGAAAAACCTCTCTGAACAAGAAACCTTTAGAGTCTTGGTCTTAGTGAAAAATAAGTTCATTTCTATTCTTTTTGAAAGAATAGTACAATTCAGGGAGGGGGGGGTTCGGAGGTTTGTGAATAACACATGGGCAATTATTTTTGTTGGAATAATGGCTACTTCGCTAGAAATAAATGAAATAATTAGAAAAACTAAGGAATTTTTTCATCGCAAAAGGAATAAGTGATGGATGCGATTAGTCATACAATGAACAAACAAAAGTCAGAAATAAAACACGCAAAGCAACGAGAAAAAAACAGAAAATTGTAACAGTGTATAAAGAAGAGAAATGACAGTACAGGAGTCGTAAAAGATTCATATTTTGATATCTACATACAATCTGCGCATTAGCGTTACGGGAATTCGAACCCAGTGCCCAAATGCATACGCCGATCTAGTTACGAATACAAATCGAGATGTCCCTAATTTCAATAAACGCTATCTCGAAAATGACTGCACTATGCGAGAAATTTGAAGCAATACTGGGCCTATTTCCGGGTCGTTGATGTACTGGGCACTTGTGTTTGGATTCTCAAGCATGTCTTCGAAGGCTGGAAGATAAGAACGGCGAATTTAAAATCTCCAATCAAAAGACCCTGTTGGAGCCAATGACAAAAAGTTTTGAGACAAATTAATTTGATGATATTTTCTAAATACTTCTTTTCCTGATCCCAGCAATCGCAAGTTCGCTTTGCCGTAGCTTTTATTCAGACAACACGGTATTCAACAATCCGTAAAAGGGCTTTTTTAGAAACGAAATCGTCACATAGTAGAAACTCGAATATAAAGACCCACTCTTACAGTAACCCTGAATCTGCTTAAATGGATCAGGATATACCCCTTGAAGGGGGAGGGACGTTTGTGGTTTGTGTATTCAGGCATGTGAAAACACCTGTGAAAGGCAGATCAATCCAGTAAACAAGTTTTTCCCAATTTCAGCCCCTCACCAGACTTGCATTGTCACAGCGCATAACAAATAAAAACATATTTATAGCAGAATGCACAAACTATCCATTCCCGGACAGATTTCTTGAAGAAATGACCAAATCGTAGCTTTTTGGAGGTAACAATGTAACCATTCGCAGGTTTCTACTATGAAATTTGGACCTATCACAGGTTTTTCTCTTAAAAACCCATACATTTTCGGGGCACACCACTAGCATAGCCAAATATGAGAGTCCCCCCGCCCAGCGATACTGCCTACAAGTTAGAAAGCAGACTCTTTCTATCTAAATAAATCTGGAAATTGATAAAAACAGATTCCAGATAACCTAAAAGGCTTTTTATCATTGTAAAGCTTAGCATTTACAAATTTAGCAGCCTAATAGTAATGCTGCGCTGACAAAAAAGCTGATCGGGTACTGGCAGTGCTACTAGCATTAAAAATATTAGTATGTCTCTTACCATGCAGGATTCTTGGATTTGTCATTCCTAGTTGTACAACAGGGTGCTCCATGATGGATGCATACATTGGGCTTGATTTAACAAAGAATGCAAATTAGCAACTATATTGTCAAATATAAAGTTTTTAAAAAAAACTTCGAGAGATAGACTGCAAAGCTGCAGTCTCTACCTAACAGATTAAAACTGACATCAGATTTCAAAGTTTCTATAGAGCCGTTAAGCCTGGTTTCCATATAATCGCAATGAGTCGCAACGAATCGCAAAGAGTCGCAGCGACTCGCAAAGAGTTGCAATTTTTGTGACCCGAAATAGTGGTTTCCATATAATCGCAAGGAGTCGCAAGGTGTGGCAATTGTTTTGTTGTGACCTGACGTCATTGCAAACTGGCGCCAAACCTGATAATGCAAAGTTGCATGCAATATGGCGGCAAACTATGAGGGATTCCTTACACTGGCAAGAAATTATCTCGTAGTCACATTATCGCATCGTGTTAGAGAAAGACAAGTCAGAAGAAAACCACGGTTTTGGGTTCGAAAATTTCTGCGTCTTCGGGAGAAGTATGGAGCTTTCCACACTTTAGTACAAGAACTCAGAATTCATGATAGAGAATACTTTTTCAGGTAGGTGAGGTGAGAAAGCAAGGCCGTGGACCTCATTCAACTTTATTTACTTGTTTTTTTGTTAGAGAATGAGCTGCAGGGGTAGGAGGGAAAAAGTGCCAGCGTCAGGCGAAAGAGAAACAGAAAAATACAATGACGTAATTTCAATTCATTATAAATTTCTTAAGTAGGATAAACTTTTAATGCAATGTCAGATGTATGTACAATCTGCAGTTCAGAGGCATATGATTCTGGAGTTTATAAGTTAGACTACAAAATGTTTGCTGAAATTTGAAAATCAGAAAATATTTTCTTTGCCTGTCTGTTTGTAATACTGCACCATATTATATATAAACATTAACAGTCATGTCTTCATTAAAGGTACACAAGAATGTCCCCAGAAAGGTTAGAGAATCTGCTTGGTTCTGTAGGCCCTCTGCTTCAGAAAAAACATTGCAAATCAAGAAAACCTATTGGGCCTGCAGAGAGGTTAATGATAGTCTCAGGTGAAAGTCAACAGTCCATATCATTTGCATTCAGAGTTGGGAAAACAACTGTTTGTAAAATAATAAGAGAGGTATGCCATGTTCTTTGGCAGGCACTGAACAAAACATTCTTGACTCATCCAAAAACCACAGCTGACTGGGTAAATCATGGAGACGAATTTTACAGAGAATGTTCCTAAATTTCTTCTCGGCTTCTTCGGGTGAAACGCCAAACTTTTCCCCGATTTTAATCCAGCAGTTATATTTTTTGAATTTATTTTTAAAGTCCTTATTAAATTTATTAAACAGGCAATCGTAGCGGTGAACTTCATCGAGGAATAAAATGTTCTCTTCGTTAAAAAGCGCCATTTTTGTGAGATTAATCACAGAAACGAGGATAATCTGATCGCAAGGAGTTGCAAAATTTGTGAACAGTGGTAAGCACAGCGAGTTGCAACGAGTCGTAACGAATCGCAGAGATAGAAAATTTTCTATCTCTGCGACTGCTTGCGACAGCTGTCGCAAGGAATCGCGAGGAGTCGCACACAAATTTCAAACCGGTTTCCATATAATCGCAGAGAATCGCAGGCAAACTGGGTTACTTTTTTTGCAACTCATTGCGACTCCTTGCGATTATATGGAAACCAGGCTTTACATATACACCAAATAACAATTCTAAATTTGAATATTTTCTGTCTGCATGTGAAAACCCAACGGGCATAGGTTGCATAAACACCTATAAACGTGCAGCAATGCGCACCCAGCGTGTTTATAATTCAGAAAACGTCGAAGATGAGTCTAACGCTGTCGATTGGATACTTAAAAATAGGCCTATTGTGTAGTCTAACCAATAGGAAATTTAAATGGCCATCGGAATGCAGCGGGCATACTGCTTGAACTAACATTGCCCGGGGTTGTTGGGATATTTTTACAGTTACCGTAAAAGCTCGATTAAGCCCCCGGGGGGCTAATTTATTTTTTTCAGTCCTAGCGGGGAGCTTAAAAGAGAGAGGGGCTAATTGGAGAGAGGGAGCTTATTAAAAATTTGAAGCAAAAAAGGTTAAAACATGCCCTTGGCCACTTATTGATATGAAAATGTCATACAAATGTTCGCAAAAACTTTGCTAGCAGCTTCGAAAGTTTATTCGATAAATTATAATGTCCTCATCTTTATCAACATCACTAGGATAAATTGATAACCCTTGGACATCTTCAAAACAAATTTCGACTGACTACTAAGTCGTACACTACTAAGTTAGTCTTTACATAGACCGCATTTAATGCATACGATCTTATCATCATCACACCCGTCAAGAGACCCCCTAAATGCGCATGTTTTCTATGTTTGACATCAAAGGCTAAAGAGGGGGGGGGGCTGAATAGAGAGAGTGGCTTAATAGAGCTTTTACGGTACGTTGATAATTCGTCGGGCAATCAAAGCCGCTGCATTGTTGCATCTTAAATCAGTCTTTTAATATAAGGATCCTGAACAGGTATACAAAAAATTTTAAGGGACGCCACGCCAAGCTTACCTCGAAGCATCTAGTCCTGGCTCTGTTTTGCTTGAATTTTGATCCCTTTCACCAAGGAGCCATTCCAACTAAATGATAATTTTTCAACTCTTTGAACAAAATACCAACATGAACTATTAAAGGTTTGTAACTACAATGAGTTACAGAGAGATTAATTATAAAAAACGTGCGAGGAATAGCAGAAAGTGGCTGATTTAGATACCAGTTAAATGAGTATCAATGTTAAGCTTTCAAAAATTCAAGAAACAACTTCTTTGTGATAATGTATATGACTAACAGCAAAGCTAATTTCGGTTGGCTAATAGCAAAGTAATAAAGGCTTGGTTACTGTCTCTTGTTCGTGCCCCTAATATGGCTACAAAACAATGAAAAACCTAGAAGTTATTCAAGGAACACTTGCTAGGACGCACAAATGATATTTAAGAAGGGGTGATGTGTATAGCACAAAAAACAATGTCAAGTAAAACAAGGCTTGGATCTGGAACTCACAGCCGATTCTTGATGATTTCCTGTTGCTTTTAAAGCTTGTATGATATCTTGCTCTTCAAACCCCATATCAAGAAGATTTCGTACAGCCTGTAGATGGAAACCTTGAAACAATTAGCAAGACAAACCAATAAAAAAACTTTAACATGGGTGAACCTGATAGGTAAATAGGGGTGTACCGGATCAGGATTTTCAGAATCCGGCCGGAACCGGATTTACCGGATTTCTTCGTAGAATATCCGGCCGGATTTTACCGGATAATCTGGCCATTTATGGATTTTTCAGTAATAAAAAGTTTTGAACCACTTTGCGAAAAAATGTAGCGAGAAGATCAAAGAGACCAATTCAGGGTTGCCAGATTTAATTTACAAACGAAGGCTAGACTGGTGAGCAATTTAAGCCAAAATGCTCACAAAAAGGCCAAATCAAAACTTTCTCAAGAATCCATCGAGCAGGCACTGGTTATATTTCTACGCTTGTGACTGTTAGATAATTTCTTAACTTAGATAAGAATCTTACTTTTTTCCAAACCCTTTGCTAATATCAAGATAATATTTAGGTTAGGTGATGAAATTTGAAATTTGGTTAACACTTTGTAGTTAACTACTAATTATTCCATGAATGTAGTAATTACTCATTAATTTTAGACGTTCTGCTGAAAAGGCCAACAAGGTCAAATTTAAGAAGTAAGCAAAAAACAATTTTTCCAGGCAATCCAAATCTAAAAACCAAAAATGAAAAATTTGGCCGAAAAAGCCAATCTGGCAATCCTGGATCAAATTTGTGAATTATATCATCCAGTCTTCCTGTTTCGTGATGACGAGCACTTTCATTTCAAATCTGTTTTCAAGGCGCTTGTTTTATCGTCGATCTTGTTTAGTTCTGGAAAATCCATTTTTAATCACTATATGAAGAGAGTCTGACGTGTTTTTCCAAATTTTCTTAGTTATGATTAAAATTCTGGAAAATCCGGCAACTGGCCGGATTTCAGAAACAAATTCGGCCGGAACCGGATTTTCAAAAAATCAGCGATCCGGCGCCGGATTATCCGGCCTACCGGATATCCGGTACATCCCTATAGGTAAAGGTGTAAAAGAGGGTGATACCACTCAAATTTTCTTCAATAAAATCTTTAGATAGTCAAGAAAAGCGCTAGACGTTGGGACTAATATGAACAAAATTTTCTTAATTTACATCTTCACCCGTACATTTTATCTACCATCGATATAACTTGCGTAGAAACGTTGGGCATGGTCGTCATTTTGCCAAGAAGGTGCGCGAATTGTCAAGACATGGATTGGTACTTCAATGATCTCCTCTTGTATCCTCATTAAGCTGGATTTCCAATCAGCAAAGTTCTACACGTATCGACACGAATTGTGCAGCCACGCATGCGTGTTTTTAGTGAATTTTTGAGATACGCGTACCTCAAGAACGTGCATATGCACACAAACAAAGTTGAATTGGATCCTACTTTTTTACGTACTAAGCCGGATCAAGCCATAAGACAACCAATTAACTTTGTATTTCTGGGCATTGATAATGAAATCAAGATGGCGGCTTAAATTCTGTCGAAGAAACATGTTGCCAGATATCTCAGAGTAACACAAAGCATTTCACGAGAACAATTCCCTTTGCAAATAGAACTTAAAACTGATGTGAAGTCACCCTGAAGTATCTAAAGAAGAACTCTTGGTCGTACAAAAGCATGTCTTGCACAAGAAGATAAAACTCTCTTTTAGATTTTCGTTCTGATAATAGTTTTCTTACCCAGAACCTTCTCTTCTTGGTAAAACGATTCTTTTTAACAATAATAAAAGAATAATTTTTCGACTAAATACAGCCGCTATCCATCATTCAATTCACGTGTCTAAAATTTTGTAATGGAAATTGCACCGAAATTCAAACATATCTATATACGCGTATTTTGATACGATACGCGAAAAGGTTTTTCTATTGGAGATTCAGCTTTAGAGTATCCATTCATTTACACTCACCCTTGAGTTTGGGGTGAATTCCCTAGCCCCAGGCTTCCTTGGTAATAGTTTCCGTCTTTCTGGCAAGTACGAAAGTAGCTCTTCTTGCGAAAGCGGCTGGTCAATATCATGATCTGCTTCATGGAGAAGAAGCCATTCCATTGCTTGAACCTGGGACATTCTAGCGATGCAACAATAATATTGGATGAATGCAAAAAATTTAAATGACTAATAAAGTATTCTTATTAGTGATAAAAAGCAATGATAAGTTAAAAACTAAGAAATGAACCGTTGCAAAACAAATATAAATGACACGGGTCAAAAACGAAACAAAAAAATAAGCACCATTGCAATGAAGTTATATGTCCTTTGGGATAAAACGGGCGTGCGAACAAAATATAAACATTCAAAATTATAAAATAACGTAGAATTCATAGCAATCTAATTTCTATTTTCCTTCTCAATCTATCTGGTTGCATTTCAGTGACCAGAAAAATTTCAGTGGCTATCCTGGCAGAATAAAAATTGACCAATCTTTTTTGAGCTAAATAAAATTGGGAATTTCTATTCATTGGAAGGGAAAATGATTATATTTTGGCTCTCAAAGTCCTTATTTTCATTTGAAGAAGCTTCCCGCACGGCCAATAACCAATTAACTACGCTATGCTATAATAAACAGGCATGGAATGATATGATGTCGATAAAAGGGTTGGAAAATTAACACCCCCCCCCCCGCCTTAACCAATTTTTCTCCAAATTCCCTGTTGTTCTCCAAATCAGAGACACCGCAAGAAAAAACATTGGCTACATAAAACAAAATGCATTTGAAATTCCTGGATATATAGACGTGGCATTCTCTTTTGCTTCCAACTAACCTGTTGATTATGAGTGCTTTTTTCGCTCTATTTTCAGGAAATCCCATATCCATCAGCTGCTTGAGTGCAAACTATGTACAAAATACACAGTAAGAAGCAGTTCTCTTTAAAAAAGTCGAAGTTAATAGTGAAGTGGATAAAATCAATTAGCTCGTTAACAGATTTACAATATCAATCGTGTATTGCAACCTTTCAAATAAGCCAAATTTGGTCTACAGACAAACAAAACGAAGCTGTAGGCCAAAGCTGGCCGAGTAACAAGTTGTAGGCCAAAGTTGTGCTTGAGAATAATTGAGGATGCTATGTGTGGAAGCTATACTAATACCTTCCAAAAGGCTGCAAAAAGTATTAGAGCCTGGGAATCAGTTTCCTGAAATACGTTTACAGTTGGCAAAGAAGTAAACGTTAAGAAAAGAAATTTGAAATTTCAGCTCACGAAAGAAAATACAATCACTTCTTTGCAATATTTTAGATTGAAGAAATCAATCAAAGTGCGTGCCACTTTGTATTTTTAGCAAATGTTGCTGCTTAATTGTATTTACTAATTTAAATGAATCTTAATAAGCTAACCCGACTTGTTTCTGAAAAGTAAAGTGAAAAACCAAAGAAAAATCTCCATAGATGGTATTGAATTCAATACAAAAGGAAGAGAAAAGAGCTAGATGAAAAAAATAGGGTTAAAGAATTACTGCGTAAGTTGAAAACACAAAATGTTCTCTGCTATTGTTTTGCGAGCTTGTTTTCTTTGTCCAGAGTTCACTACATATTATTGAAGCAAGAAATAAATACTGTTGAATTAATTTTATACTAATACTAATCCCTTATACTAATTTTGTCCCAAAACGTAAATGATAAATAGATATCTCTTCAAAATGGCTTTGAAAAAAGCAAACATTTCATGAACATATTGGCTAAAAGCTTTTTCGTCTGACACTTTTCAGAGCATAAAACGTCAGAATAAGGGTCCGAAAGAACATGATGAAAAATATATACCCAGTTGTGGATCGAAATAGGCCAATCAGAAAAACGCAAGCACAAGATCGGTATGGAAGAACATACGAAAAAAAATTGCCCCCTAAAGGGAACAGCTCCTTGATCTTGTAGGTCTAGAAACACTGTTAAAACAAGTGATTCTGCCATCGGTTAACATCTTCTAGACAACCCAGATTGTGCTAGATTCTATAATGACGACATGTTTCGGATAATTGGCAGAGCCAGGTCGTCTTTCCATCTAGCTACATACAAACAAAAAGCCGCCATTGTGTAGACAGAAGGAGTTTTTGTTCTCTCTTGGACTCCCATTGAGGCTCGCGGCACTGATTGGTCAACTACACCGGTCTTGTGCTTGCGTTTTTCTGATTGGCCTATTTCGACCACAACTGGGTATATATCATCGTGTTCTTTCGGACCCTTATTCTGATGTTTTATTCTCTGAGGAGTGTCAGACGAAAAAGCTTTTAGCAAATATGTTATAAAATGTTTACTTTTTATGTTTTCAAAGCCATTTTCAAGCTCTGTACCGCCAGAAAACTGTTCAGAAATCTCTTCATAAAACAAATTGAAGAAAATCTTGGTTGAAATAAATGAAAAGCAATTATAAAATATCATCCTTACCTTATCGATTTCTATCTCTGGTTCTACAAAAAAGTAACAATACTGTTAGCTCAATACTTTAGATTTAAAATAATAAGAGAAACTTCTGAAAACTCTATTTGTTGCTGGTAGAGTAAAATAATAATTTAGAGATTGGAAAAAGGGCTGCAGTTCTTATCAGAAAAAGTCTTAGAAGACTAATCAATATTCTCAGATTAATTTTAAGTTACAAAATGAAAAATTCTGTATTCATACAACTTTCAAATAAGATTACAGAATTACCTTTGAGGGCTTGTATTTCTGTGTAGCATTGCAAAATTAACAAATATGACTTTATGTAAGTAGAACAAACAGGTAAAATGTTCACAATTTAATCAATAAAAACATATGGTAATTTTGTTTAAAGATACCAGCAGTTAATAAAAAATTATTGAAAGACTAGTTATCTCTGACATATAAAACTTCAAAAAGATATACCATCAGTTTCCATATCACTATCATCTCGATCTTCTGAGCTTACAGTTTGCAAAAGGCTGGCAACTTCAACAAGGGAAGTAAGTATTCTTTTTAACTCTCCAATAAACTGAAAATGATAAATTCAAAATGATTTATAAAAATCATGACACTGCACTGTAAATTAACAACTGGAAAGAATGCAACATGAAGGCAAAGAAAACTTAATTTTCATTTTCATGCACAAAGTTTACATTGATTTTGGTACTTGAAAGTTGGATAAATAATAGCTACAATAAGATTATAGACTCTATAATGTTAGCTTGCTTGTTATTTAAAACAGGGCAAATGAGGTAATCACTTATATGATGTTGACTTCTAAACAAAATGTTTGAAATGTCAGCATGTAATCGTCATTTGAAACTAATGAGAGACTCAAATAAGCAGGAATGGCAAAAAGCCAACCCAGTTTTTCCTGAATTTCAAGGCTTCCATTATTTTATAGAGCCTCTAATGCATCTGGAGGTCAATTTTAAAACCTTTTCTACACAAACAAATACCATTAGGTATAGTACAAAATGTCATATAGGCAGAGCTGTACATGTATTTGTAAAGCAGGCCAGTTTTAAGTTACAACTCTGAATCTTCAATGCGATCACCAGGCAATTCTTAATTTAATCTTTATATTGTGAATGCTAATATTGCTAACTTTCTCATTAATTTCCAAAAGGTTTAACAGTTGCCTGATAAATGCCTAGAACTCAAAGCTTTAGCATAGATCCATCCAGCTCTATATAAAAATCACCTAGCAGACTAATAATTGAAAATTCTTCTCAGAGTATAACATACATCAAATAAGACCGGTGTTCCTGTAGCTAATGTTGCAGATTGGCCATGTTCTTCATCAAGTTGCTCAGTATTTTGTTTGATAGACTGCCAGTCAACTGACTTACATGCAGCTGCCTTGAATAAAAATTTACTGTTTAATGTATTGTATAAGAGAAGAATAACTTCAAGACATAAAATTGACTAAAAGTCAATTTTACTGCAATGGGAAGAGATTTCCTGAACTTTTTCAGAAATGTTAGTAACATACAAAAATACAAAAACGACAGTTTAACTAAAAACTTTGTGATAGCTGTTAGAGGACATATGGAGGGAAAGCTGGAAAAGGAGATTTAAAGAAATCTTATAATATTATATATTCACTAATCAAACACGAAAATTTTCTTGGTGATGCTGAAAGTTGAAAATGGCTTTGAAAAAAGCAAACATTTCACAACATACTGCTAAAAGCTTTTTCATCTGACTCTTCAGAATAAGGTTCCCAAAAAACATGATGGAAAATAATCAAATAGTGTGTCACTCCTCATTACAAAAGGCTTCTTCAGTGACTTTTGAACAACAAAGAAGTCTAATTGCAAGTTGAGCAAGTCAGGATCTTTGCCTCACACAAATTTGAGATAAAAACTGCTATAACTCAATTTCAGATCTGTTATGACTGAATTTCACTAGTGGTCTGCCAAGACTCAACTTCAGTTGAATGGGGGGGGGGCTTGGTGTTGGATTAGACATTAGAAAAAACTATGCATGGCATGCTTTCTGGTATTGGCTTAGAATCAAATTGCTAGCTTTGTCAATAAGAAGTTATTTCATGACAGAAAACATTCCTAGAGGGTGTAAGGCCTCACATGCCACCTGAAATAAGTCAAATAAGTCAAATAAGTCGAATTGATAGGTTATGCATGAGGAAAAATTTTACCAGCCTTTGCCTTAGGCATAAGGAATTTTTTTGGCAAAGTATATTTGACTTAAGCAAGATTATCACACTTGTTTAATACTGAAAAAGGCTTAACAAACTGTAACAAAACACATTATGAATAAGAGATAGTATACCTTCTTTGCTAATGAGGCATTAGGAAAATCCCTTCTTCTTTTCCAAATAACAAGTTCATCTACAAAATGACAGTTACATTATTATTTTATATATTATATGGTGCATCTACCAAATACAAACAAAAAAATCATTTGAGCCAAGACAGTGAGTTTATAACTACACTCCTTACTAAAAACTATAACATCAAATGATGTACCAGGAAGTCAACTGATCTGAAAGGGCAAACTTTTAAACAATAAAAGTTTATGAGCAGTTTCATGCTAGTGATGCAGTCTGTTTTCACTGCAATGTCACCACCCTCACAGAGTTATTAATATTTTCTCTCATTTTCATAGAATAGCATTAAATTTTGGATAGAACAGGAAGGCTCTGAGTTGTAACCCCATGCTGCATGCATAAAGCAATTACAGGTAGCTCTATTAATAAGACCTTTATGATTGGTCATTAAAAACCAAGAGGTATCTGTCTCTCGCTAAAGAACCTGGCTTTTGCTAATAATCTAAGGTTCTAAGGTTTTAGAGCCAAGAAAAAAGGCCATTTGCAAATCAAATTGATGATCTTGGCATGGTATCCAAAGAAATCAGGGGACAACTATATGTTGCTGCTTAGAATGTTGATCAAGTATGGCTACACCAGCTACAAATTTTGACAAGAAGAAACCACTGAGGAAGTAACTCAATTAGCACAGATGCATTGATGTAAAGCACCCAAAGATACTTGTATCTATTGCTACCTAGCTTCAAAAGATAGAATATGAGAAAATGAGAAGCAATGATGCTTATCAAGCAGTGCCCTGGTCCTTCCTCTTAATGGGACCCCACTTTATGATTCATACACTTGGAATTGCAGAGAGCATGTGACTTCCTTCATTCTGGGTGATGGTATGGTCAATGACAAATTAATACCAACAAAGCAAAAAGTCAAGTCATATGAAACAGTGGTATGTATATTGTATCATCAGAAAACCTGTGCAAAAAGGAAGAAAGCTTGCTCTTAATAATGGAAATGAGAATGGTGCCAGGGATTATGGGCCTTGCACTGTGTGATGAAGAAGGACTGATGCCATCTGGATAGAACTGAAAGTATGTAATATCATCTTAATAGAAAATGTCAGGGAGAGCAATGTTTTATAGGCATAGAAGGTAAAAACTAAAAAACCAAAGTGTGAACTGAAATGTAAAGTCCAAAATGGAAAACAAGAAAAGAGGAGATAAGGAGCAGTCACTACCACTTAGTTACAGCCTCAAACTCAGATTGTACATTTTGAGCAATTAACTTGAGAAAGACAGAAAATAATAACAAAGCAACTCATCAGCCAGAAACCCAAGAAAGACATATGGGGCTTGAATTCAGTATGTCAATTTCTCTTAGGCATAGTCGCAAACATAGGGAAATACAGATAACAAATGGAAGCTATGAGGATCAAAAGAAAGTATCAATTTACACAGAGTGCTTTATAAAATATTGTAGAAGCACCTGAATTGAAGCAATGGAAGCACCTGAATTGAGTAAGCCAGATAGACATGATTGGGTGTTGCTTTGGAAATAAAGGGCTTGGAGAATTGGGAAGTGTTATTTGCATAGCCTGTACATAGGGGCATAAAGTTAGGGTGGGCAGGGTTGGGTGTGGCTATGACAGCAGAGGATCAGATGGGTTGGGAAAAGGAAAGTGTAGGGTAATTGATCTAAAAATGGTTTTGTATGGATAAAGTGTGTGGAAATGACTAAGGCCTGGGCATGGGTATGGAAGAGTTAAATTGCTTTAGAGAAAGCTTTGTGGGTACCTAATAATGTGTAGAAAAATAGATGGAGTGTGTAGGACTGGACAGGGCTGGACATTGCCATTGAAGGGGAGGGTCACTAGGATACAGGGGCACCTACACAGGGGGGGGCTGGAGGGGAAGCTGCCCCTCCTGCCCTCTTTGAAGAAGGGCAGAGGGGGCAAGAAGTGCCCTGAAATATTTTGACCACTTTGACTACTCTCGTTATGCTGATATCTATTAGAAAATACTAGAAAGATGATAACACCAGCACAAAAATGCAGAGAATGAAAAGTTTGTCTGTGACAAGTTCGGCCACAAGAGGGAGAGCGGCAAATATAATATATGATAAACCAAAGATGTGTACTCCCCCCAGAAGTACTCCAGGAACCTAAGGGGGATAAATCGGTATAAAACTTAGCAGGCAATCAAAATTTTACAACCAGTCCATTTATAACAGCCATGATTTTTGTAAAACCAATAATTGTGAATAGCGATAAGGCCATTTAATAACCATTTTCATTTATGGATAATTTCGTCCAAATTTTCTTTATGTTTCTGTATGGGTGGCATATTTTAAAGTTAATATTTTATTATGTTACCCCACCCTTGCCCCCGTCCCACCTAGGAATGCTCGATAATGTTAATAGAAAACTTCAATGATTTGCCCGCGGCACCAACACTGCCCCTCCTGCCCTAATCTTGTGCAGGCGTCCCTGCTAGGATATGGAGAAGGGGTGTGGATGGGAATAGGCATGGCAGAATAGAAGGGAGGGGTTCAATGGGCTGGGGAAGGGGATGTCCAGGCTGCTTGCCATACATGTCAGTTGAATTAAAAAGTTCTTAGCAATTTTGGTAAAATCATAAAGTCCTTGCAACACTCTCCTTGAAACTGTAGTTTTGTCCTGATTCCAACATTTGCTTCTATCATTGCAGATGACATCTTGTTTCTCGGCTTTGTTTTGATTGCTGCCACATGAGAAAAATTATTTTTATGGCAGTGCTACTTTGTGAAGTGGTCACACATAAAAGGGCATATTTTGCAAGCTCCTCAAATTACCTTTTCCCAAAATGAAAACAACAATATCTAGAACTTTGCAGCATCCTTGGGGATCATTCCATCTCTAAAACCTGGTTGTGAAGCCCCATCTACAAACTTTATTTTCCTGTACTGCTTGTCAGTTTGTGACTTACTGTTATTATGGATAAGATCTTGCATTGGCAGCTTTCCCATTAAAACAAAATCTATTTGACTCAAAACACAAGATGGAAGCAAAAAAGATAAAGATATGAAGATACCTTCGGAACAAAGCAATCGTTTCCTCAAATGACTTTCTGCCTGTAATAGCATATGAAAACAAAGTCCACCCATTTCCCTTGCTCTTTCAATAATAGCGGAGTTGTTATTCAAGAGCTGATCAACTGATTTCATTTGTAAATGTACTTTGCTCCAAAATCAACCCTTTACATAGGGGTGTTAAAGCAGCTTACAAAAAACTGGTTCCTCAAACTTGAGAGGAACAAAATCATCTCCTTGGACATGTTATTTGAATCAATCTGTGTTCCATGGAAAAAGGCAATGACTTGTTTCATTTCATCCATTTTCAAACTCATTGAAAATGGGTGAAATAAAATAAAATTGTCATAAAATTGTGGAGGCAGTGGATCGATGAGTAATAATCTGGAAGTACAGACTAAAAGAATGAGAAGGCTATTAACAGATAAAACATCACTGACTGAAGGAACTGGCTGATAGAACCAAACCAAGTTAGGTCGCAAAACATGACAGAATTACACTACGGTATCAAAAGTATTGCATCATCTTGCTAAAAATGGCGGCACTTTTTGTCAAATTTTTGACAATACCAAAAATTTGAATGCATGTATTGGGTGAAATAGGCGTATTTTATAGCAAATTTCGGGCGGGAAAAGTTTGCAAATTTTACTTGTGCCTTGCGACACTTGAGAGGCGAGTCGCTATAAAATATTTACGAGGAAGTGCTCTTTAATTTTGAAAAAAATGTTGACTAAGTAAGATGCCGCCACACAGCAGCTGTGAGAAACCAAAAAAATTTTCGAGAGCGTTTCAATAGTAAAGAGGGCGAGAAGCGGAAGACCAAAAAATAATTTAAGTTAGAGGAGAGAAAAATTGACTCTTTCACTTCACTGTGCTTACACCAAGGGACACTAAACGACATGAAACTCAGTGCTGAGCAAGGTTTTGCAACTCAAAATCCGTCCAGATACAATATAACGAGTGTTTGCACAACACAAAACGAAAAGTTACCTAAGTAAAAGGAAACCATTTTTACCAAGATTTATTTCCAACAAAGAATAATTAAAGTTTTTAACATGATTTAAAAAGTTTGTTCTCGTATGAAAAACGTTACAAACCAAGATCCAAAAAGTTGTCCAAACGGCAGATAATCATTAATTTGAAGAATTCTTCAGGCCTTATACAAACTTGCACAAGAATACATTGCCCAAATATATGGATCCATTTCAAGGAGGCTTTTTGCGCTTTCAAAAGTTTGCGGCTACCCGTCAAAATAAAGAAATTTGAAACTGTTAAAAGACGTCTGTTACTGTTATTTTTTAGACAAGTGCTCTAAATATATTGAAGTTTTGATTGGTGGCCTTTTCACTTCCGACCCATTTCCATTCACCACTTAAAAACACAATTAATTCGCATGACAATAGCTTTGGATCAACTCGCACCTCTGAATCGAGGCTTATAAGTTCAACCATTGTTACGGAAATCATTGACATGATCATTGATCATTGAAAGAGACAAAACTCTTTAAAAATATATCGTTTTAATTCAAATTAAATAGCAAAAGGTAAAAAATCGCAAAGAAAAATACACAGAAGCTGAACAAAATGTTAACAAATGAATAGAGCTTGGCGCAAGAGCTTTTTCACGGACAAAAAACAAATAAATACTTTGAGCAAGAAGATTTAAAGAATAAACGAGGAGATAAACAATGTGCAAATACAGATCTCAAAATAGCAACTATAATGCCTATTGAAAAATTATTTTTGTTATCAAAAATTGTTAGGCCTTTTGATTAGAAGGTCTTTGGCCTTTTAAAACCTACTGATATGCACAAATGTTCAATTGATCTTATGGCACTAAGACAAGCAATTCAAACGCAACAAAGAACACCATTGGATTGAATTTTATTGACACCTCATTTTCTGTATTTTACTTTACAAAGGAAACCGGAAGGTCTCAAAGGAAATGATCGACAAAAAGGTGCTCCCGTAGAGCCAAATAAAACAGACAAAAAACAAACGAAACAGCTGCTTAAGAAATTCAAATATTCATCCAATTTGGAGAATTATTCAGATAAATCTAAAATAAGCCAAATTTTTGAACTATTTCAAATCATATTTTGCAAGTGAAACAAGCTTTTAAAAATTTACAAGTGTTTCTGGTTGTCCAGTTACAAATTTAGATTTGTGGAATTTGGATCAGAAGATTCAGACCAGCAACTCCAGGCCCATCAGAAACTAAAAGACATTCTGTGTGTTTGTAAGCATTATAAAGCCTCAAATTCATTTTTCTTGCCCAGACCGGTATGGCCCTCCTTAGACCAATATGGCCGAAGGATCATATTGATCTGGACCGGAATGACCAAGGAGTCAGATTGGTTCAAGGGGTCATATCGGTCTGGAACAATTTCAATGATTGATGATCACGTCAATTATTTTCATAACAATGGTTGAACTTAATAGTCTTGATTCAGGTATGTATTAGCCTCTCATTATGCTTGGGAGGTGTACTGCAGCTAATGGCAGGTTTTTGATCATTCATGCGCCATTTATCCTCCTTTGAGGTGGTGCAATACTTTTGATACCCTAGTGTACTTGGTAAACCTTGCGAAACAACTTGGGAAATGGAAAAAACACAAAAGTGTGAAACTTTGTCATTCAAAAAATTTTCCTTGCTAATGGTTAGGCTAGGTGATAATATTTGACACTTAGGATTACACTAAATGGCTTTTTCAAATTCACGTTTGTTGTTAGGCTTAGTAAGGCTTAGTGTTAAAGTTTATAAAAAGTAGTAGGCCAAAGACGATTTTTTCTGTCAATTTAACTCCGGGAAAAGCCAAAATTGGGAAATTATGCCAGATCTGGCAAATATGAGAGCTTTACTTCACCACTGATAAACCAAAACCGTTGTTTTGGTTGCGGCCTACGTTGTTTATATCATGATGCTGTAAACTGGCCTAAGTGAAGATAGTCTTATGTGGCATTGCAATGCCAGAAATTTGTTTAGAAAGAAACCATACCATTGTCTTCAACGCCCTCTTGTTCGAGGGTCTTTACATCTTCAAGTGCTTTCTTCGTTCTTGTTAATACAACGCGGTAACTTCCATATTCTTTGGCATGTTTTTCGTCCAAAACCTTTTCCTTCACTGACTTTATTGTATCGGCTTGACAGGCAGATATAGATCGTTCTCTGCCTTGAGCATCGGTTACTCTAATACTTAGAAGAAGCCTCGAATGCTTATTTAAGTCGTCTAAGCCTAAGAGTGGTTTGAACTCTCTCATTTCTGTTAACAGGTAAATCCTTTATCAAATCACAATCAAACCAGAAGTTCTTCGTCCACCATTGAAGCTTTGTGTTTTATGTTTTACACCACAACAACATTAAAATCTGCGGGTAGCTGCAGATTCTTCGCATTTTCTCCCGAAAACTGGAAGGGGTTAGTGTGGATAGTGTCGGTGGCTCAGTGATTGGGTCGTTCATCCCTAATGGGCATCGACCCAAGGATGTTCTTAAGGTCTCCCTTCCCTATCCTTTAATTATTGAAACATCTTTTTTGCATCATTTCGATAGGATGGCTCTTACATTAACGGTCAGTTACTGTAAATTCTCTTTCAAGCCCCCTCTCAATTTATCCCCCCCCCCAAAAGTTACTCTGGTGCCAAAATGAGTAAATTTGGAAAAAAACGGAGATTTCCAGTTTATATAAAAAAATAGCCTACCACTTAAATTAACAAAAATAATTAAAGAACGATTTAATAATAATTTGTTAATAAATGAGCTTAGTGAGAATTACTCATATCGTTTTACTCCCAATAAAGATACCCTTGAGAGGTTAATGCATGCTCTTAAGAGCGATGGTGTCAAAGACTTCTTAGACAATATCAGGGACGATCCCCAAGTGCCTGTCGAAGTTTCTGTTGCGAATTTGCGTAGAAAGTCGATTTAAAGGTCAAAAAGGACCATCCCCTCAAAAATTATATTCACTAAAATAGGGAAAAAGAAATCTAAACGAATACAATGCCCTTAGTTCGATGAAAGCTGTACACTCTTTTTTATAACTTAAGAACCAGCAAATTTTAGTTCAGGCTGACTGTTCTTAATTTTTTTTGAAAATTTCATGTTTGGAACACAGGCTATGTGTGCCAAGTTTAGGCAATTGAAAAAACGAAACTCCGTTCCCTCAATTTGTGCTTATTCACGACAAGATTTCTCGTTCTATTTGCTAAGCCAAGCTGACACTCGTTGTAAAACTTAGACAATGACCGATTTCTTCGATCTTATTCCCATATTCAATTTTATGTATGTCTTCTATGGCAAAGGCATAGCAACCAAGGTAAAGCTAAGAACACATTTAAGAGAATACTAGGCGAAGTTACTGACAGAATCATATACTACATTTATTCTCACTTTTGCCTAAAAATTTTCTTTAGCTCTGCAGTAAAGTGGAGGGGCCATGGCACCCGGCCCCCCGCCCCTCGGCCCCCCGCTAAACAGGTTAAGAATCCCGCTAAACATTTTGAAATTTCTGCAATCCGTGTATTATTTTGAGAAAATCTGCGTCCGGCAAGTGTGTAGAATTCCCTCGTTCCGTTGAAAAATTGCCAGATTTCCGCAATCTACGACAAATTTCCCTAAAATTCTGTTCTTCCGCAAACACTAATGACATCTTCATTTGGAGAAAAAAGGCAAGGATCTACCCTGTGCCTTGCAGACAAATATTCTCGCAGGTAATAACTGAGGGTACGAAGGTCTTTTAATGCAGAACACGGGAAAAGGTGAACCACGTTGAAGTATATATATTTGTCTCAGGATTTTCCAATTTCCAAGTCCGGGTTTTCCGTTTTTCATAACTATTTTCCGAGTTTTGGGTCCTAGGTACTCTCAAAACACCCTCTTTTTCATGCACTTCCCAATTGAAAAGTTTGCAATTTTTGGGATTATACGTAATTTGGAAGTTATCTCTTTTTCTGGTAAAGAAGGGCATAAAGGGAATGATGCTGGCCCAGCATCAAGCTGTAGTTTTGTGCAGCCACTTTGAATTTGCACTGAATTTGGTAGTGTTTTTTACGTCTTAGCAACAAAAATGACTAAGATGGAGGATGTCAATGAAAAAAGTTGAAAAACACTGCAGTCCACGAAGGGCTCTCTTTTCATATCCGAAGAAAGTCTTATACCGGCGCCCAGGGACTAGCCTTGGCCTGGAACTCAGTCAGGTTTTTTTGCTGGATCCGCCCCTGCAACCTACAAATGCATATGTCAAGATTGTAAAAGCGATATCTTCATTGACTTGCACCAATTTAATACTCTATTGAGCCTCGGGTAAGACTAGTATTGAAAATCTATTCAAAATAGCTTGGTATCTAGAATTTTTAATATTTAAGAAGAGGAGCGCCACTGTTCGTTTTATTAGATTGTTCAACGCTGCAGCCCTAAGTTTTAGGAAGGATAACGGCGTTATTCTGCGATACCCTTCATTACACTACTGGTGCTTCATCAATCACAGGGCACACTTCGCTCTGTGGCCAGGTCCCCTACAGTTAGAGGGGCCGCAAATTTTTTTGAAAAGATTTATGATCAAATCCATCATCGTATTTAGCAATGTGGTCCATATTCCTCAAATCCACGACCTATGGTCAAAACTCCCTGCTATGGATGAAACTTTACTCATTGCAAAACAAAAGTATTATCATACTTTATCTTATTCACACACTTAATGATTTTGCTTCGAAAGAATTTGCGATATAAAATGAAATTATTCAGCAAGAGGATTAGCCATTTTTTCCGCGCGCTTTTCAATATTCACTCGTCCCACTCGAACCATCTTAAAATGCACAAGGAGTTATGTACATATGCTCAATTTAAACGGTTTTGAAATTCCATTCCTATCTTGACATTGTCAAAGACTTTAACAAAAGACGACGCCTTTTACGGTTAAGAATAAGCGCTCATAATCTAGAAGTAGAAACTGGTCGTTTTGGTAAAAACCCTAGAGAAAAACGACATTGCAGTTTCTGCTTAGCGACAGGTTAAATGTTTTAGGAGATGAATTTCATTTACTTATGGTGTGTCCGGAATATGCTGATAAAAGATGTTATTTCTTAAATGAACTCCAACTGATAGCCCTAATTTAAAGCAGCTAACAAGTCGGAATCAATTTAACTGGATATTAAGCCAAGAAGACTTGAAATGTCTCAATTTAGCTGCTAATGCTTTGAAACAAGATTGAGAGAACATTAGAACAATACCAATACTCAAGTAGTTCAACCCCACATCTTAAATATTAGTTGATTATATAGACTTTCCGCTGTAAAATGACACACGTATTTTTAATCTTTTACATTTCTTAAAACAATTTTATTACCTTTGTTAATGCCATGGTGTGCCCTCTTGACAACACAAGCTGAAGCCCATGCACAGAGGTTGAAAAGTCAAGGATTGTAGAAAGAACCGTAGCGGAACTGTAAGAATCCTTTTAAATTGTGTCAGTACGAGAGGAAGCGTATATTTGGGATTGGGGAGTCGTGTAGCCTGTGTGCAGACTCTAGCCATGGGTTTTATTCAAAAATTGATCTTCTTGACATAAAAATGTGAAAAATGAACAAAAAATAACTAGATAAAAAGACAATGAATGATAATCCGTAAAATAAATACTTCCAAATCATTTGCACGGTTTTATGTGGATAAGTATTCAACTACTGTTCCTTCCTCTCTCCAATAAGCTCCTTAAAACGATTTTTTTGCAAATACCCCACCCTCTTCTTCAGGCTACCCCTCCCCAAAGTCAGGTATTTAATTTAAATTTAATGCTATAATAATATAAACATATTCCAAAAAAATTGCTTATTCGTATTGATATTTCAAAATTAGTCCCCCTCCCTCTTCTTATCACACCCTCTAGAAGATCAATAATTTAATAAGCCCGGGGCTTATTAATGTTTTAATGTTATGAAGCATGTACAAGAAAAGCAGATAATGTTCCGCATGAAACTAAAATCACATTGCACAGAAAAATTAAATACAAACCAGCCCTCAAGATTAAAATATTCTTCACAAAATATATGCTCATAGTGTCAGTTTTACAAATGGGACAGGGGGTCTGGCCTCCACATAGGAAACTTCCAAAGCAACTTACTCAGGCTTGAGCACATCAAGCCCCTCTAGAAGAAATCCCTGTCCAGAACCTTCCAGCAAGACATATTTTGTTGATCAGAACTCTTAAATGAGCCACCAAGAGGCCAATATTTTTAAGGCAGGGTATCAGACTGCTCCATTTTGCAATTAGATCAGAATCTAAATCTCTCGGAATGGACCTCATGTACATAATCAAAGCATCCATGAAGCTTGTTATAGTTATTTCTGAACAGCAATAAAATGCAAGAACTATAAGAGATACTTTTATTTGAACCAATTGCACAATGGAAACAAGGAAAAGGGGTTAAATCATTGGGAATTTTAAGGTTCTGTTGCACATGCTCTCAATAGCAGTAAAACACAGAGTCAGAGAGAATTGTATGTTTATTTTAAAAGAAAAGTGCCTGTTCAAGTAAGAAATCCATTAAAGGATGTGTAATAACATATATGACAGAAAATGTCTAACAAAAACACTAACAAAAGTCTTAAAATTGATAACAAAACATGGCAACCTACTATCAGCACCTAGGAATGAACCTTTCAGAAAATCAAAATTTCCAACCTAAAACATTTACTTGAAGGAAAAATATTAGCTTATGTTGAGAACTATCTACAAACTGGGATGCTTAATTGTGGTCTTCTAAAATGATTAATAAATTGTTTATTTACTAGAAATATTTACTAGAAAATAATGTAAATCGTACCATGAAGGTATCCAAAATATAACTGGCCCCCCAATAATTGTCAAACTGTAGTATGTTTTCTTTATAACAGTGTACACTCTTTTTTTATAAGAACAATTTTATAAGAACACAAGCCTCAAAACTGGTCAAAAGTTAAGAACAAATTAAGAACAAGCTGAGGCTGAGCTTCTGCAAAATGCAATTTTAAACAATGTTTGTTCTCAAAATCGAGGATTTTTAGCAATGTGTAGGTGCATTTTCGGTGAATATTCAAATTTGTCAGCAAATTGAGGCTGTCTTACTCACTTTGTTGGCAAATGAGGCCTGAACACCTCCTTAGAGCAAAAAAGCTAGCAATAGCACTGCTTACATCCTCTTAATTTAAGAACGAATTAAGAACAATCCAGCCTCAGATTTTCGAAAAAATTAAGAAGAGTCAGCCTGAACTTTAATTTACTGGTTCTTATAAAAAAAGAGTGTACTGAATGAGAAATAATACAATGGGCAGACCCCCCACTCCCCAAAACGAATTTTGTTCCGACAGCACTGTTACGCATATGATGAATGTAAA